TTTTTTTTTTTTTTTTTGAGACTGGGACTGGCTAAGTTGCTGAGGCAGCTTTGAACTTGTGATCCTCCAACCTCAGCCTCATGTGTGAGGTCGTGGCTCATTAAAACTTTTTTAAAAAAATATTTATTTATTTATTTTAGTTTTCGGTGGACATAACATCTTTGTTTGTATGTGGTGCTGAGGATCGAACACGGGCTGCACTCATGCCAGGCGAGTGTGCTACCGCTTGAGCCACATCTCCAGCCCTCGTTAAAACTTTTTGATGGATCATACTGTATATTCTTATGTAACATAAATGGAAAATACAACAGTGAAAAGTTTTGTACTAGAAACCATAGGAGAGTCTTCAGAAATGTTATCCACTAGGTATTTGATTGCACTGTTATGCTAAGTGTACACTATGCCACTGAGCTACATTCCTGGCCATGTGTTCTTAGTTATTAACCACAGACTACATAGTTTCTTTGGGTTTTTTGTTTTGTTTCTGTGGTACTGGACTTTGTGCATGCTAGGCAAGCACTCTGCCACTGAGCTACATTCCCAACCCACATTATTTCTTTTGATGGGGCAAAATATAATTTTCTCTTTTTACCTTTTCTTAACATTGAAAAATGAGAGCATCTCTTTATCTTAATACCATTAGTGTTGAATCTCAAAACTAAATTTTTATTGGATTAATTTGTAATATTTTCAGATGGAATATCAAAAGAAATCCTAAAGAAAATGCAAAGAAGAAATGATGACAAATCCATATCAGATGCACGAGCTCGTTTCCTTGAGAGAAAGCAGCAGAGGACACAGGACCACAGTGACACACTGAAGGAAACAGGCTAAGCAGTGAACCCTACAATTCAGGAACTAGGAAAAGCAGCCAGGAAATGTGCTTCTACTTTACCAGTTATTTCAGACAGCACTATGAAGAGGAAGTGGTCAGCATCTGTTATTAGCCTATGAGCTAAAAGCAAATCAAAGCTCACTGATACCAACAAATGGAATTTTGAAAGACTGGATTGGATTGCATGGTCATAGGCTTTGATACAAGAAACCAGTGAAAGACAATACATGTAATATTTTCCTCACTTCAGTTTTGCTGGCCTTAACTGGTATCAAACGCTGTTATTGAGATATTTTCAAAGAACATTGAGTTGTATTTAATCAGCGTGTATTCCATTTGCATTGAAGCATTAAAAATTATTTTCCTTAAATCTCTTTAAGGCCTTCTTGTTGCTATTAGAATAGTGTTATATCAGGTATGTGACCATTTCCTTCAGAAGGCTGAACATAAGAGGTTTTTACTCAGCAATACTTAGATGTCTGTTTAATTGCTACAGAGCTTTATAGATATTTAGAGAAAAGAATCAAATAGTAAATAAAATTGCCTATGTCAGGATTCTTTCTTGAATTAATATTAATCCTTAAATTGATTTTTCTGGGATTATACAAATTCCTTTTTATATAAAAATATATTGTTTAAAACAGTAGCTATAGCCATTAACCAAAGGACAGATGATATATATATATATATATATATACACACACACATATATATAAAAGTTCTTTTTTAGCTGTACCTACATACTTGTATCAGCACCATGTATGTAGGTCTGGTAGTGCTTTCAAGCAACTCCTTCACACGGCCTACTCTCTTGCTTCCAGCTGCTTGGGTAGGACCATTTAAACATCTATTATGTTGATCTTGAAATGGGATTTCAAAGCAGCCAACACTATTTCACCAGTGTTTCAAATTGGAACCTTGAGGCTAAGTTAGTATTACACTCAGGCCACACTCAGCACTTGCCTACTCTTGTTTACTGCCTTGTATTCTAGTTATTTGTGTATTTGTCTGTCTCCTCACTAGATTATACGCTCCTTGTGGGCAGGAACTGTGTCTTTTTCACCTTTGTATCTTTCATGACACCTAGCATAGTGCTTTACACATAGTAGTCACTGAATGTTTGTTAAATAAAGCTTTTAGTGTCATTAAAACTTAAAAGATGGTAAATGTGTGTTTTTAGATATTTTTGTGTAAAAACCAAGAGTCTGAATTTCTTTTTAGTATATCTAACTACTCTTTTCTAGGTTTTCCCTTTGGCATCTAAACAGCTTTATGTCCAGCACTAGAAACTAGAAGATTTTTGCTGGTTTTTTTTTTTTTTTTTTTTTTTTTTTTTTGGTATTGGGAATTGAATTGAACCCAGGGTTTTGTGCATGCTAGGCCATCAGGGAGTATATTCCCAGCCCTTAAAGCCTTTCTTGAAAAAAATCACATGAGGGGGCTGGGGTTGTAGATCAGTAGTAGAGTGCTTGCCTAGCACCTGTGAGGCACTGGGTTCAAGCCTTTGCACCACATAAAAATAAATAAAGTTATTGTGACCATTAACAATTAAAAAAAAAATCTCATGAGGACCCGAATCCCTGTGCCTTTCCTTGAAGGTGAGTGGTGATTGTTTTTCTGAACATTTCAGCATTGTTAATTTGTTCACTTTTATCTATAGTGCCCTGGACACTGTCTCTGCACATTAATTGTTTAGTCCTGTCAGTTTGTCTTTTTAGGTATGTGCTGTCAGTGTGTTTCCTTAAATGGGATAGAAGTATGCATGAATTCTTAAAAAGAGAGTTCTTTTAACTCAGTATTTATTAAGCACACATTCTAAATATATAGTCTGTATTCAAATTTCATCAGTTGTCCCAATAATATCTTCTCTAGTATATCTTCTCTTCATTCAAGGATCTTCCTTTCTCCTTTACAGCACTAATCACCCCCCGCCACCATAATATGGGCTAGTTATTTTATAGGAAGTCTTCAATTTGAGATTCTTTAGTGTTTCCCCGTGGTTAGATGTATTTGAATGGAAAACTTCATAAGTGATATGGTATGGGTATAACATCTGAAGTTTTGTGGTATTTGCCCATTATCAGTGATAATTAGGTTTTTTTGGGAGGTCACTGGGGATCAAATCCAGGGGTACTCTAACACTAAGCTACACCCCTAGCCCTTTTATTTTTTATTTTGAGACAGGGTCTTTCTAAGTTGCTGAGACTGGCCCCAAACTTGTGATCCTTTTTCCTTAGTCTCTGAATTGTTGGGATTATAGACATGATTTTAACTTTGATTATTGGTTAGGTATTTTTTTTCCCCTTCAATCTAGTTACTCTTACAATTCATAAGAATTTGATAGGGAGATACTTTCAAATATGTAAAATATCCTCATAAAATATGAAGATTTATCATCAATTGCTTGAATCAATTTTATTGTTATAGTTGCCAGTTGGTGTTTATTTCAAAAATTCTATATTTATTTGTTGGTAGTATATTGTAAGGAAGAACATTCTTTAAAGGATGAATCTCCAGTAAACAGATGGATACTAGGAACAGAATGGATGAAGAATAAATTGGAAAGATTGGGAGGTATTTAAGAGGGCTGCAAACAGTCCAGTTTATTTGGTACATAGAAGGGGTAGTAGGCTAAAAATGTCAGTTGAGGTCAAGCCAACCTTTTTGAACTATTCTGTGAGATATATAGATTTGTTAGAGGGAAATTACATCATTACAGTTTTTTGTTTTCGTTTGTTTTGGGTACTGGGGATCAAACACAGGAGTGCTTCCCCACTGAGCCACTACATCCCATCCCTTATTTTTATTTTGAAACAGGGTCTCACTAAGTTGCTGATGCTTGCCTCAAACTTGGAATCCTCCTGTCTCAGCCTCCCAGGTTGCTGGGTGGCATGCACCACTGCACTCAGTGTTTTAAATTAATTGTGGCAATTCCCATTTTCATTGAGAATGCTCTAAGAGGAGTAGTATCAAAGGAATGCTTGATCTTATTAAGGCAAAAAGGTGGAAAGAGCCTTGAGAAAAGGTGGTGGTTTTGGAGGAGTTTGTTCTTAAAAGAATGTGAATTCACTTTCAAATGACTAAATCAAAATGAAAAATGTTATAATAGAAAAGCAGACATGGGACTTGGGTTGTAGCTCAATGGTAGAGTACTGACCTAGCACATATGAGGCACTGTGTTCAATCCTCAGCACCACATAAAAATAAAATAAAGGTATAGTGTCCATCTACAACTAAAAAATATTTTTTTTTAAAAAAAAGCAGACAAAGGACATGTTATTTCATCAAAAAGGAAATACAAATGGGCAGTAAATAAAAAATAATGAACCCTATTAATAATTAGGAAAATACAGATGAACAGTAAGATGCCATTCATTACCATCAGATTGTCAACAGTTAATATTCCTGAAAAGTATTGGTATAGGAGAATAAATTGCCATTATTTCATAGAACACGTTGGTAATATCTAACAAAGTTAAAGATGTGACAACCTGTGACCCAGTAAGAAAGTGTAGATTTTAAGCTTCTTTATGGGCTTATACATACTTTTCCTCATAAAATTTGATTCTTAGAGGTTTAGCATCAACTGTTTTTGTTTTTTGGTGGGTGGGGGTATTGGGATTGAGCCCAGAAATGCTTTACCACTGAACTACATTCCCAGCCCTTTTTATTTTTATTTTAAGACCTAGTCTTAAAAGTTGCCTAGGGCTGGGCTTGATGGCATACACCTCTAATCCCAGTGGTGGGAGGCTTAGGTAGGAAGATCTCAAGTTCGAAACCAACCTCAGCAAAAGCAAGGCACTAAGCAACTCAGTGAGACCCTGTCTCTAAATAAAATACAAAATAGGGCTGGGGATATGGCTTAGTGGCCCAGTGCCCCTGAGTTCAACCCCCGGTACCAAAAACAAAAACAAAAAAGTTGCTTAGGGCCTTGCTAAATTGCCGAGGCTGGCTTCAAATTTATGATCCTTCTGCCTTTTCCTCCCAAGCCACTGGGATTACAGGCATGTCTGGCTATAATCAACTGTTGTTATTAAATATAGCATTCATAAAAATGTTAAATATAGAATTCATTAAAATGCTAAGCATACCATTGTTTTTAGTAGTAAAATATTATAATAGACATAATGTGTCCACATGGCTAAAATATATAGGTATCATTTGGGAATGGTTGAGTAAATTGTGATAATGTTCTGTACAGCAGGGAAAATAATTTTTGAGGCTCCTGACACCTATTCCTAAACTCCTGCAGAATAGATGAACCAGTTCACATTTTTATCCAGTGTTATAAATGCACTGTACCCTTGAGTTCCCTCATATTCCAATAAGACAAAAAACAGTGCCTTATTGTTATCTTAATTTTCTTATTTAGATATTTAACACTTTTTTCATATGTTAAAACTCTCCATGGGAAATAATAAAATTATCTGGCTAATATTTGATAAAGCCAGATAGTAAATACTTTAGATTTTCAAGCTGTACAATATCTATTGTAACTTCCCAGTTATTGTAGTAGAAGAGCAACCATAGACAATGCATAAATGAAAGAAAATCACTTTGTTCCAATAACATTTTTATTAGAGAAAATTAAATTCAGATTTCATATAATTTTTACATGTCAGGAATTTTTTTTGGGGGGGGTTACCAGGGACTACAACCGGGGCGCTTTACCACTGAGCCACATCCTTAGCTCATTTCTTATTTTTTAATTTTAAGACAGGGTCTTACTATGTTGCTGAGACTAGTCTCAAACTTTTAAATCTTCCTGCCTCAGCCTCCCAGTACCTTGGATTACAAACATATGGCATTGTACCTGGAAATAACCAGGTTTTTGGTTAGTTTTTTGCTTAATCTACTTTTATCAGTCATGACATGGTAAGGGTATTTTAAAAAATAATTTCTAATGTGTATTAAGTTTGGTACATATTCAGATTGGGCTAGGTTTGTTAGGTATATTATACAAAAACTGTTCATTGGGACGAACATGAAGCCTTTAAAATTCAGAATTGCTTTTCCCTTTATCAATCTGTTTTCTCAAAGCCTTTATAAAAATAACATAATGCCAAGTATTTATTTTTGTATTGTACTACTGAAAAATATTTGTCAAAGGTGCAAATTAGATTATAATTCCTTCAAGCTTTTATTTTTGATTTAGCCAAAACCTTATTTACCCAATGTCAGTCTAGGCATTCCAAGGAAAAATTTATTACCATTAATAAAGTATGTGCTTTGCTGTTGACACAACATTCCCAGAGTGAGAGGAGACTTGTTTATGGGTCATGCTTTGCTTTTAATTGGAGATTAAAAAAAAAAAGATAAAAAGTACATATTAAGAAATGGGGGTGGGGGATAACAATCATTTTCACACTCTTAGCCTCATTGCCTTTTTGCTCTATTAATCTTTCCAGCTTCCCATGACTTTTGTTTTGGGATGGGAAAGCGATGTTGCAACTTGGCATCTGACTTCTTACTGGTCAGCAGAGTTAAAATGCTTCTGGGTTTTTCTGTCCATATTGCTCTGTGATGATTATATTTGTTTGTTTGTTTGGGATACTGGGAATTGAACTCAGGGGTGCTTTACCACTGAGCTACATCCCAAACCCTTTCTGTTTTGATACAAGGTCTTGCTATATTTAAACCAACTTTCCTTAGATGGCTTTTTAAGGTAATGTCTTGAGCTGTTTTATTGCTCTCCTGGGATGTAATTTAACTTTTAGAAAATATGGGAGGAGCCTATATAATGTGACCAATTTCCAGTTTGGATTCCCACAGGCTAATCTTGGCTTTTTTGGTTGGAACATGATAAAAGACAGTAGCTGGGTATAGTGGCGAAAGCCTGTAATCCTCATTTGGGAGGCTGAGACAGGAAGATTGCAAGTTCAAGGCCAACCTCAGCAACATAGTGATAGTCTAACTCAAATAAATAAAACGGGCTCCTGGGTTCAATCCCTGGTAACAACTAAAAAAGTAAAATCTCATATTAAAGCAGAAAGGCCATTAAGGTTTATTCCCTTGCTTTCTAAATGATTCTTTCATTTTTTTCCATACTTTGTTGGGAGGTTGCCTATAATCTGTTTTGTACAGAGCCAAAATAACAGTGGACACTATGTTGACCAAGACCTAAGCAATACTCATTTTTTTACTGGTTTATGATAGGCTTGCCGCTC